CTGTCCTTGTTGAACGAAGATATATCGTTTAGCTCTAAGGATTATATCGTTAGATGAATCGTACCACGTTACAGCAACAAACGTAAAGGGAACTATTGCAAGATTAATTCGCCAACTCTTTCGAAGATTGAGCTACCTAACTGGAAGATTATTCAATTTAGAAGAAATTTTATTCTCCCTTTCGTTAGGTATATTCATCTTGTCGCATGTAGCCATCAGGTGAGCCACAAGTCTCGAAAGGGTTGCACCACATCAACGCAACCTTTCAATTGCAATTTTTTTTCTCTTTCTTTTTCGGTTAATTTATATATATATATCATTAAATTCTAGTTAGTTAGCATACTTACGAAACTGTATATATAGAATGTGTTACGTATTTTTGCGTCGCTAGTTCTTTTCCCATTTAAATTTCATCACGAAGGGAAATTGAAAAGTTTTTAGTATTAAGATGAGCAGTTTTTCTTTTTTTTTTTAAATTACGGGGAGTTTTCTTTTAATCAATGTCTTAGTGGCGAACCAAGTTTTTAAGAAGAAGAAGGGGGGGAACTTTACGGTTGTTCCTGTTCCATCGTATATTCGCCAGGCCGTGCAACGAATTTTACGCGTACCTTTTTATCTTCTGTCTCTATCGACGACACGAGGTAGATTTTCTTTTTTCCAGCGGGAGAACGACAAGGGAATGATGACGCGAAAGCTCTCGAGTCTTCGCTCCGATTTAACATATCAGCGTACAATGCGCACGACCGATGCGGATGTTTGTTCGATATCGGACAGTCGGCATTTCTTGAAACTTCATGTCTTTTTTTCCTCTTTTTCCTCAAATAAGTAAAGACTAATTTCTGATATTAAATTCCGCGTTCTTTCAAACGTACAGGTAACAAATGCTTCATTTCTGCGAATGTGTTCTTGCTCGATTTTGAAAACGTGTTCAAGAAATGTGTACTGAAAGATGTCCAAGTACGGTTTTACAACCAGCCGAATCGTTCATCGCAAAGATGATGATGAAAACACACGAAAACGATTACTCCTGCGCTCCTATTTCGATCCCAATAGCGATTTTAATTATATACACGCGAGCGCGCTCAAACGTCGAAACTACCTATTCTTCCACGTTATTGCCCGAACCAAAGAGTAACGTCTTCAATTTTTATCAGAAACGAAAAGAAAGAAAGAAAGAAAGAAAGAAAGAAAGAAAGGAAAAGAAAATCTACAATTTTTTAATCTAGAGTCTTCCTAACGAATAAAAACGGCGTTTTATTGGCGGAAAGGCAATGAAACGAAAATGTGTAAATGTCACGTGCTGGAACTCCGGAGGAAGAGAGAGGGAGAGAGAGAGAGAGAGAGAGATGGTCGAGCAGTGCGTCATGTCCAACAAGGAGGAGCATGATTCACGAGAAGATTCCCTTTGAAATTCTTCGTGAACGTTCGACGAGTCGTCGACCGACATTTCGTTTCGTATGCGTCGAAATCAACACGCGGACCGTCACGATTTTTCCGTTCTATTGTACATATTTGTAAAGAGTTAGGTTAATTTGTAACGCGGCGGCTTCGAGCTCCCTTTTTGGATTGCGTTCAACACGACGCAGCACGGCGCATCGTGCGTGAATCACGCTGGGAAAACCCAGAAGCGACGAGCGACCGTCTGTGGAAATCGCGCTCCGATTGTATAAAGCTGTTTACCGATTAAACGTAATTTCCGTCGAGCATTAATTAAACACGCACCTTCGTTTATTTCATACCTGGGATATTTGTTTTATTCGAACAAGCGTACATGTGCAAACAGGAATATTTTATGTCATCTTTCCACGATTGATCCTTATTTTATTTCTACATTGCTCTTTTTTTTTTTTTTTTTTTTTTTTTTTTTTGGAAAGATCATAGAAATTATCATTTGGATGTATTTATATTTGTATTTTCATTTAGTTTGGTTTTCATCGATTATGTACCTACCTTTGTTTAATTTCCTTCGAGCATTTCATATTTCCTTCGTCGTTCTTTTTAGTTCTTTTTAGAATATTTATTTCGTTTCTGCGTTTCTCACTTATTTTTCCCACTTGTGCTTGGCTGTTTAGTTCATACACTTGACAAGTTTCTTATTCATATCCTTGTTTCCTGGAATATATTTATAGTTTGCATCTTGATTCATTATCTCTTTAACATTCAATGTTTCGTCGATTGCATTATCAGTCAGTTCTTGGAAACTTTTCCACTTTGTATTTTTATCCATTATTCTGATATTGATTTGTATAAATGTAAAATAATGTATTTTTATTCGTTATTTTGTAATATTCCATTCTTCGTCAAAATCGTGTCTTTATTTATAATATTGCAATGATAAATAACATTTCCCATTAATTGTCGTGGAATATTCAATCTCTATCACTTCACTTTTCCAAGTTCTCCAACTTCTCATCTTTCGAGGTAGTTCATTCTCCAGCGATTAATAAGGAAAATTCACGAGGAACTTCATTCATTCGTTTAGATTAGTAAGCAAATGGTAAGTGGGACACGTGTCAGTTCACCGGCCATTCTAAATATCCAGAATAGCTTCGTTGATTAATGTTCCAAGTGAAGACGTGACGAAACACTTTTCCATTCGAGAATCGTGAACCTATTCCTGGATCGTTATTCGAGCCCGGTCGAAGAAAAGTGTATCGAGAACTAGAAGAATACGTGTTCTCTCGAATTGAGAGCATTAGATTAGAATTCAACGAAGAAATTGCAAAATCAATCGGTCATGTATAAGAATAGTAAACGGGAGAATTTCTGGAGCAAAACATGATACACGAGTTCTGAGGAATTATCCTTCCCTCAAGAGTGTGAAAAGATCCTTTCGCAAAAGATTGTAACAATTTTGAAACGCGTTTGTGTAATTATTTTTAAAAATAAATCTGTGCAAACTTTTAAACACAAATATCGTGTCTTCGTAAAACAGTGCCAAAAAAGCAGAATTCGACATTCATCAGCTAGTATTATTGTAACTCTATAGTATTTTGCATGCTTTCACGCGATTGCATAAATTCCACGAAAGTGCACGAACTGCATTTCCTATTATAAAATCATTCGACAAGCAATAGAAGGATGGCAATTGGACGATCGAAGAAATCACGGCCGATTTCAGCCGTTCGATCGACTAATACTTGCTTTCGAATACACGTATATATATATATACGTGTAAGCATAGCGAACGATCATGTATTCACGTGGCAAAGGGGTCGCGGACGTTGCATTAGGGGGGTTATTTTCTGGAATAATACGGTGGGCGTTCGAGCGTAGAAATACAGGAGTATCGCACCGTTGATCCTATCAAATGGGAATCGTTCGGAAATCTCCCTGGTGAAATCTGCTTTTATTGTTTCTAAAGTCTCTTATTGCTAAACCGTTCATCGTACGACGATGGAACTTCTTCTGAAATTTAAACTTTATCTCTTGTCAAACCTAGTCAAAGTTTCGATTTCGATTTCGATTTCGATTTCTGCTTTCTCGATTGTCGTGTGCCTTGGGTAATAATGGGGGATAACGATTCGACGTCAATGGAATGACAAATTTCTCTGGAGCAAGAGAATCTTTCGAATTTCCCGCGAGCAGCGGGGGAATATTGTGAAAATTTCGAAAAGAAACAAGCGAATGAGGGAAGGCGATGGCGCAGGCATTGGCTGGATGTAAGACGATAATGCGACCGTCGGAATTCTTATGAGAAGCCTTACTGACGGAGAACCGATACGGGGGAACAAGGACCGTTGTCACTTCCCACGAACGGTCCTTCGAGATCGCGAAACCAACGGAAAAATCGGCACTCGGTCTCTCGAGTAAGTATATCCCTCGGACCACTTTTACTCTGGCTTTACTCTGGGTTTACTGGCAGACTGACACAGAATACAAAAGTAAGAATATAGTTTCACAATTATTCCACGATGAGAGAAGAATTGACGAATTAAATGTGACAAACAAAGAGAAACGAAAAATTCAATTGATAAATATAAATATAAATTTATATACTTGATTAATAATTATAAATATAATTGTATAAATGTATAAATTTATATATATAGAAAATTATTAAATATTCCAAACTTCTTCAAACATTATAATTCCATGGGATCTAGATGAACGAAGAATTAAAAAACAAGCCTGAAACAAGAAATTACCCGTGAAATGTCGCGTGAAATAGCCATTCTTTTGTTTCGAAGTTTTACTTCGTGCAATATTTACTCGAGTGGCTTGCCCTTTACAAAATAAATCGTCGAGGAGTAGAAAGTAGTGGAAGATCATACGTATCATAATGGACCGGGATAATTTATTGGCAGGAGCGTGACTTTTGCCTCCATTATGCAAAATCTTGACACGGTTGCCCGTGTGCTTTTCAAATCGGTCCACTCGAAGGATCCAGGTCT